CACACACACACACACACACACACACACACACACACACACACGTAACTTGTTTTACCTTTACACTGCTGTGGTTCAAAGCCAAGCTGGCGTAAGACACAAACCAAACATTGGATAATTTGTGCTACAAATGTAAAATAAAACTATTCCGCCACATTTGTATGAAATAAAACAGCTTTAAGATAAACAGAAGGGTTCGAAATAACAAATGCAGCACATTAAAAAAATAAAAATAAAATAAAATATGTTCAGGCTGAACAGTTTAACAGTCAGAAACAATTTGCCAGTGGTTGTCTGCTTTAAAACAGAGGCAGCATCTCTTCCAACYCACATCCGAACACAAAATGTTCTAAATACTATATTATTTTAATAAAAATAATCCAGTATAATTTATAGCATTATTCTGCTGCTGTAATACCTGCCCCCCTTTTCATTTTTTTCTCTAATATCCTTACAGTTTGTATTTACAAGYAATTAAAAATTGGTTACTGTGTTTCAGTCATTAAACAGTCCCTTTTTGTTCACATCTTCATGAAACTGATTACAGTACTTTTCATTAACACTGAATGGACCGATCTGCTTTCTTTCAATCCTTACCGTAAACACAAAAGTCAATTTTGAAAGGTCATACGTTTGTCCACAACTAAGGTATTTAAATTAATATATTAACAATTTAGCAGTAATTCAACAGCYCAACATGTCGACTCGGTTGCTTGTTGAGAAACAACCTTGTTTAGTTTATTAGCTACCTTTGTCCTGATTCTAGCTAGCTTCAGTTTCTCCATCCCTCACATGCCCTGATGATTAATGCGACAGTTACTGACTCATTCAAAGTCAATACATTTAAATAAAAATACACAAGCAGATACATCTAAAAAAAACAAACATGCCATTGGTCCTTTAAATACTGTTCAATACGTAGGCTGGAATGTTTTGTTGACTCTTTAATACCTGATACAGAATATGAAAAAAATGAAAACGTTCCTTCTGGACACAATAAATAACTATCCTTCATATAAGGTAGTAATACTAAACCTACAGTAATTGCACGGTGACCACATGCAATGGGCTTGGAATAAAAACAAACAAAAACATTTTTTTCATCTGTCCCTCAATCCCTACTTCCATCTTTCTGTCTAACTATTTAATTTTTTTTATTTGACTTTCTGCGACGACTCCGCCCGCGCGCGATCCCCACCGTAACTCAAAATAATCTACTTCACTTGTGGTCCGAACTCTGAGCCCTGGGGAACGCCAGCCCACGCAGCTACAGAAACAACACTTGCAGTTTTGCAGTCCAAGGCAAAGTGTGGAACAGCGACATTTAAGACAACAGCCCGCTACAGGTAGTTTGGTTAATCCAGTTAATAAGAGAAGCTCGGTTGTGAGCGTGGGTTTCTCCTGTTTACTCGTGTTGGGATGTGCAGAAGAAACAGTACAGGACTAGTCCTGGGCCTCTGGTTGCACGAGTCTTTCTGTGGTTCCTCGTTTTGTTGTCTGAACAGTCTTGTTAGCTCTCCAGGTGATACTGATGCTGAGATGATCCCTGTTGCAGTTGAGAAGTGGTGTAGAAGTTTTATTTATTTTTTTTACTGGCAGCATCCTTTAGAAGGGAAGAGGTAAAAACTCAGACTTATAGTTTATGTCATCCCCTTTAATTCCTTCCACCTGCATTTTTCCCCTCTCTACGATGGAGACTCAGGTGTTTTTAGAGATCTCCATCTGAGGGTGGCAAGCACAACCTGAAGAGCCTGTTCAGAAACAGGAAGTAAAAAAAAAGGTTGTTTGTGACTTTAAATAATAATGAAGTAAATACTGAGGAGATGGACAGAAGGTGGTAAGGTTTCATACCTGGGAGCTGATGGAGGCATCTGGTCCATCACTTTGAGATTTTTAGCAGAGAGTTCAACTCTTGCACCCTGATAGAAGAGATTTACATGTGAGATCAGAATGATGGGTTATTATGCATAACTTAAATGTTGAAGCAAAGCAAAGGTTATATATGATTATGTGTATTAGTGAAAGAAGAAGGGAACAAAAATAAAT